CTGCACATCAAGCTGAGCTTTCAGATAGGTATTGTAGCACGTACAAAATGATTAGATTAAAAAAATAAAATGGTAAAAGGTTTTGTGTCTACAATTACGCTCTGATCAACACCACCTTTTGGGGGATCAGTGTTAAGCTTGGATTCGTTAAACATCCTTATTAATGATATGGAAGGAAAGATAAACAGCATCTTAATGAAATTCACAGATGATATTGAATGGGAGATATTGCAGACTCCAGAGACAGTAAAAAAAATTGTACAAAGGGATGCAATGATGCTAGAGAAACAGATAGGAAAGCAAATGACTCACCCCTCAAAAATGCAAGTTAATAAATATGAACAAAAATAATCCAGGTAGATTTTCATAGACATTAGGGCTGGAAGGGACCTAGGAAAATCATCGAGTCCAGCCCCCCGCCCCAGGGGCAGGAAGTCAGCTGGGGTCATAGGATGCCAGCAAGTAAAACATCCAGGTTTCTCTTGAAGGTGTTCAAAGTAGGTGCTTGAACCACCTCTGGTAGCAGACCACTCCAGCCCTTGTGTCCAGCCTGAAACAGTCTTGCAGGAGTTTATGACCGTTCAACCTCCTCATCCCTTGGGGTGCTCTGGTGAACAAACGTTCCCCCAAATACTGCTGGTCACCCCGATAAACTTATAGGTGGCCATCAGATCACCCCTGAGCCCGCGGTTTTCCAGGCTAAAGGGCCTCATGGCTCTCAGCCTATCGTCATAAGGTCTGTTCTCCTGACCTCTGATCATGCACGTGGCTCTCCTCTGGACTCTCTCAAGCTTCTCCACATCCTTTTTAAATTGTGGGGCCCCAAACTGGACGCAGTACTCCAGCTGCAGCCTCACCAAGGCCGAGTACAAGGGGAGAATAACGTCCTGGGATTTGCTTGAGAAACATCTATGGATGCAAGCCAGTATTTTTCTTGCTTTACTAGCTGCAGCATCTCATTGCAGGCTCATGTTCATCTTGTGGTCAATGATGACCCCCAAGTCTCTTTCTTCCGTAGTGCTAGTCAGCATAGCATTGCCGAGCCTATAGACATGCTGCAAGTTTTTCCTCCCAAGGTGGAGAACCTTGCATTTTTTAGTGTTAAGTACTATCAGGTTCTCATCTGCCCATTTCCTGAGCCTGTCAAGGTCAGCCTGGATCACCCGCCTGTCCTCAGGTGTGGATGCTTTACCCCAAAGTTTGGTATCCTCGGCAAACTTGGCCAGTCCGCTTCTGACTTCAATGTCCACATCATAAATGAAAAGGTTGAACAAAATAGGTCCAAGGACAGAGCCTTGAGGGACCCCACTGGTCACAGGGCACCATGACGATTGACTTCTGTCAACCACCACCCTCTGGGTCCGTCCCTGGAGCCAATTTCCCAGCCAGTGGATCGTGATGGTAGGTGAGGTAGGTGATACCTGCAAAGTGTCTAACAAAGATCTTGGAGTGGTAGAGAACAACAATTAGACACGAGATTGCAATGGTGTTCAGGTGAGGAACACAATTATTTTTTTGTCATTTTAAGTAACTTTGGATAAGACACTTGATATTGTACTTTGAGAATTAACCCTGCAAAAGGAGGGAAAAGAACTGCATGATATAATATCTACTTCACTCAGTAATGACTGGGAGGCTTTTACTTGATGAAGGTGGAGCTATAAATTAAGGCAACTGTCCATTATTCTGTTTCAAAGCAGTGCTCTCCCCCAGTTTTCATCTTAATGTTTAATGTTTAGCAATACATATTCCAAATTCAATGTAATCTCTTGCATGCCACTTTTCCTAAGCATAATAATGTGTTTACGTTCAGCACCTGAAATTTTGGATAATATATGCAAAATCCTGAAGTAGGGGGACCTAATTAGGATTACCTGCCAATATTTGCCTACCTAAGTATGGCCCTTCAGCAGCATTAACCTCTTCTACAAGGCTTTTAAAGATCAAAGGGACTTGTTCACACTGTCAAGATCTGTCCCTAAAAGCCTACTGAAAAATGAATGACTAAAGTACAAGGCAGTTGTTCTTTTATTTTAGTCAGCTCTGTATCAAATACTGAAAACAGTATTAAAAATAAAAAGGATTTTTTTAATTATAAATGTGTAACAGTTGATATGATGGAGTCTAAAGATTTGTTCTAAACCCTTATGATCTGTCATTTTAACAGGTAGCAAAACAATTTAACCTCATTTTACTTTCTAAACCAGCCATTATATTTCCTTTGGATCAATTCACTTATTATGGTTTATCATGCAAAATAGATATTTGGACCATTTTCAAATGCACTTTGCTACCACTTTACTATATTGCATAATTAATTATGTTGACAGCTGTTAAAACAGTTATTAATATGAACTTCAGAACACAGAAGGGCTCTTTTGTATCTTGTCAGTTCATAGTTTGGAGCTGTTGGAACATTGTGGCACAGCTCATATTGTAGGAAGTGTGCAAAGCCTTATGCTCCAGAACATATTAGCCCTAATTAACCAAAAATCCCTTGTAGACATGTCATTTCATAATCCCCATTATTGGGTTTCTTGTACCTCTCTGAATTTTTGGGTGTTGACTGTTATTTGTTGAAAGCAGATACCAGAATAAATAAATGAACCATTACTCTGAGCTGGCATGGCAGTTCTTATAGATTTGTCTTACTTCTGCAGTCAAAACTGCCATTGGATTCCACATGATTAGGAAAAGGTGATGTGATCTGAGGCCAGGTGGAATAGGAGGGGTATTTCTAGCAGAGGAATATGGTGGTATTGGTTTGGGCTCCCCTAAGCACTGAAATCCAGCTAGCGCAAAAACATTATTCAGGTCCCAGCACTGGTAGCTATAATTCATCAGGGCCCAAACTCAAAAACTTTTAGGCAGTTGAGTAGCACTTTTGCAGCTAGCTTTAAATGCGCAAGTGGCGTTCAGGGCCACTTACATGGATTTTTAGATTTTTTCAGAGTCTACTTCTGCTTCTTCCTAGGCATTCTCCCAAAGGATCAAATCCAGCTGCTTATGCTCTCTGACAATCCTTTTTCACCTAGGAAGATGCATAAACTCCTTGTAAGTCCCTTAAAGAAGAAGGGGTGTAGAGAACGGGAAAATGGGGGACAAAAACCATGTCAAGTGAAGAGGAGTGCCACCTAGGGATTAGTCAGTTTTCCCATGGATAAAACTGTAAACACTATACTTGTACACTATTTAGGAATGTAAAGTTGGTGGATTTAAATTTGTACCTGTTAGATTTGATGCATTGCTTCTCATCAGTCAGGTCTGTGATAGAATACAACTGATGGCAGTAAATGGGAGATGCAGTGGTTTTCTATCTCAGTGCAAGTCTCCTCTCAATTTTTAGCAGCTGTCCAGTATCAGGAGGCCATTAGCTTTCTGTTGTCATCACCAGTACATAGTACCAGAGGCAGATGGATAAGTGAGCAATACTGTGCTCTGGGTGGCGGTGGCACATAGGGCAGTGCAATAGCCAAGCTGCTGGCAGCTGTGGGTGGTGGTTGGCAAAGAAGCAGCTGCTGTTTTTGTGCCACCTGTAAACCCGTGCCCAGGGTTGGTGCTTCAATCCATCTCCCCCCACCCTCGCCCTTTAGTTAGGCTGTCAGCTTGAGGACTCTTTTTAAAATCTTTCTTTTCCACAATGCCTACCAAAACCATGACAGTGATCAGGCTTCTGGTATGCTGAAGTAACTACCTGTCATACTGTTCTACATTGTTTTGTTCTTTCCTTTTGTGCCTTGTCTGACATCTCTCCCAACCAGATAGTTGGTCCAATAAGAGATATCACTTCACAAACCGTGCTTCTTACATATTCCCTGGCCCATCACAGTGGCAGCAGCAGTATGACCCTTGTACTCCTCTTTTCTTTTTATCTGAATACATCTGTTTTCTTTTGCCTTAGGTTTAGATTGTAAACTCTTTGTGACAAGGGCAATATTTTTATTCTGTGTTTGTAAGACATGTAGCACAGAGAGGTCCTGATCCCTGGTAAGGGCTGATATGTGTGATGGTGATGATTACAATGACCACTTACGTTCAAGTTGTTTTAAAGTATGGGTAGAGTTGTAGGTGTCATAGAAGGAAGTATGATTTTGTGGAAACTGTGCATGACTTGGCATTTTCACATGGTTTTAACCTTAAATTAGATCCAGCTTAATCTCTGCTCTCTCTCTGATTGTCATTTGGCTTTGGGAATTTACTCTACCTGAAATATCACAGCAAAGCTCAAGGGGAGCAATTACATGCAAACCCAAACCAAACAAAATGCTACTGAACCATAGTGAACTAACTTCTGAACTGTGCACAATTCTATTAGTTTTCTTAAGGTGGAATTTATATCAGGACATTTAGGATTAACATATCTACTCCTCCAGAAACATCAGGCCTTCAGGTTTCATCTCTATTGACATATAATATCTCTGATAGCACAGTGCCTTCAGTATTGTCTGGATCAGAAAAGTGTCACGCACTAAGATGCCTCCTTCACTGCTTCAGTAGCACCTTTGGATTTGGTTTGATATCTTTTCAGATCTTCCTCACCTTTACCCCAATTAAATTATGATCACCAGCAAAAGTTAGATAGTTTTCTTAATTTTAAGGAGAGTTCCCCACTAAATATGAAATCTAAGAGTTAACCTGGGGGGACTGAAAGAAAACAGAGGATGAGTTAAAAAGTTACCACAGGGCAAGCTTCTCATACCTTTATCCTTATTTTGCCATTGCAGGTTTGCATTTGCCATGAAAGTGCATGTTGTGTGTCCTTGTCCACATGACTCCGCAAGTATGCATGGCAGTTTGAAACTAAACTAAAATAAAATAAAACATGTGATAAAGAAAAGCCCTATCATGCTCTTGATGTGCTTTACTCAATTTAATGTCTGAATTGCCTGAGTTTCTGATTTCCATTTTATACGTTTTCCAAGTGTGTTTACTTCGGGTGCATGGCTGTTCCTTGCTCAGTTCCCCTGTCTCACACTGAGGTCTTTGATTCTGATTGGTAGAACCCCCCTGATTGCTGCGGGAGTGATTGGTGGACTCTTCATCATCGTTATCGTGGGCCTGACATTTGCTGTTTATGTTCGGCGCAAGAGCATTAAGAAGAAGAGGGCCTTACGAAGGTTTCTGGAAACTGAGGTGAGGATGTTTTCTTTTTCACCAAATGGAAAAAAAAAAAACATGTATTAGGAAAACTGTATAGTATTGCTCCTCTTTCCTCCTCCTCCTCCTCTTCTCTTTTAGGGCCAAATTCAACTCCTGTTGAAATCCATGGAAACAATCCCATTGATTTCAACTAGACATTACAGAGTGTGTGAGTGAAGCTATTCTAAGATATTAGTTTTTCTAAAGACACACAATTATTAAACCTACAAACAAGCATTATGATTATCGTGTCTGAAAGCCAAAGCTCAAAACTTCTCCCACCAGAACTTAAGCCATAACTTGTTGAGTCATTTACCACTTACATAAGTGTTTTGAGTCCTCATCCAAAGCACATTGAAGTAAATGGTAGGATTCCAGTTGTCTTCAGAGAGCTTTGAAGCAGGCTTGTGCTGAACAGGGGCCATCTGAAGCACCTACTTAAATGCAATGATTGTCATATACAGGGATGATCCTACCTAGAGCACAGGCTTGAACTAGATGGCCTCTTGTTGTTCCCTCCAGCTGTATTTTTCTGTGATTTGCAATGTATTTGTGCAGTGGCTATAACTAGCTGGGCCAAACCTGTTTAAAGTCTGTATAAATGTTTACTACTCTTCTTGTTATTGCCATTGTAGAATAAAAATAATAGCAGTATTAACTGTATAATGCTTTATACTATGGTGGAGTCATTAGACAAAACTACCAGCCCCATCTTATCCTGCTTATCCTGCAGGGGAGAAGGACCAGCTGCTAGTGTAGCTGCATCTGTAAGACCACCACCACCATTATCAGACTTCTTCATGTGCCACCTCTGCCAGCAATACACACAGAACTGCACTCTGCTGCTGGACTGGCTGGTCACAGCAGTGGAGATGTGGCTTGTGGGCTTATGGGTCTGGCAAGCCCAGGAGCTGGAGCAGGAGCAGGAGTGAGAGATGGCCCAGGAGAACCATGCACTCCATGAGAGGCTCCTTGCCCTCAAGGAGAAGCACATGACCAAGTAACTAAATCCTTGGATGATGGTGTCACTGTGGACGTAGTCTTTCTAGACTTTAAGAAGGCCTTTGACACTGTCTCTCACCCCATCCTCATCAATAAATTAAGCAACTGTGGCATTGAAGACTGCATAGTTGGATGGGTAAAAAATTGGATGATGGGGCACACCTGGAGAGTAGTGGTGGATGGGTTGTACTCAACCTGGTGAGATGTGAGCAGTGGGATACCCCAGGGCTTGGTCCTTGGGCCTGGACTGTTTAACATCTTCATCAGCGACTTGGACAAGGGGGTGGAAAGCACACTGTCCAAGTTTGCTGATGACATTAAGATGTGGGGTGAGGTGACACTTGAAGGGAGAGAGAGGCTGCAATTAGATTTAGACAGACTACAAAAGTGGGCACACGAGAATAAGACTGGGTTCACTGTAGACAAATGCAGGGTGCTGCACCTTGGGAGAAGGAATCCACAGCATACA